GAGCCACAGCCCGGCTGATCAGGAACTGACTTTAGGTGCTTGTCCAGTGCCAGCTTGAAGACTGCCAGGGGTCTGTTGGTAATCCCCCTTATGTGTGCTGGGAGGCAGTTGAACAGTCTCGGGCCCCTGACACTTATTGTATGGTCTCTTAACGTGCTAGTGACACCCCTGCTTTTCATTGGGGGGATGGTGCATCGTCTGCCAAGTCTTTTGCTTTCGTAGTGAGTGATTTTCGTGTGCAAGTTCGGTACTAGTCCCTCTAGGATTTTCCAGGTGTATATAATCATGTATCTCTCCCTCCTGCGTTCCAGGGAATACAGGTTTAGAAACCTCAAGCGCTCCAGTAATTGAGGTGTTTTATCTCCGTTATGCGCGCCGTGAAAGTTCTCTGTACATTTTCTAGGTCGGCAATTTCACCTGCCTTGAAAGGTGCTGTTAGAGTGCAGCAATATTCCAGCCTAGATAGAACAAGTGACCTGAAGAGTGTCATCATGGGCTTGGCCTCCCTAGTTTTGAAGGTTCTCATTATCCATCCTGTCATTTTTCTAGCAGATGCGATTGATACAATGTTATGGTCCTTGAAGGTGAGATCCTCCGACATAATCACTCCCAGGTCTTTGACGTTGGTGTTTCGCTCTATTTTGTGGCCAGAATTTGTTTTGTACTCTGATGAAGATTTAATTTCCTCATGTTTACCATATCTGAGTAACTGAAATTTCTCATCGTTGAACTTCATATTGTTTTCTGCAGCCCACTGAAAGATTTGGTTGATGTCCGCCTGGAGCCTTGCAGTGTCTGCAATGGAAGACACTGTCATGCAGATTCGGGTGTCATCTGCAAAGGAAGACACGGTGCTGTGGCTGACATCCTTGTCTATGTCGGATATGAGGATGAGGAACAAGATGGGAGCTAGTACTGTGCCTTGTGGAACAGAGCTTTTCACCGTAGCTGCCTCGGACTTTACTCTGTTGACGACTACTCTCTGTGTTCTGTTAGTGAGGAAATTATAGATCCATCGACCGACTTTTCCTGTTATTCCTTTAGCGCGCATTTTGTGCGCTATTACGCCATGGTCACACTTGTCGAAGGCTTTTGCAAAGTCTGTATATATTACATCTGCATTCTTTTTGTCTTCTAGTGCATTTAGGACCTTGTCGTAGTGATCCAGTAGTTGAGACAGACAGGAGCGACCTGTTCTAAACCCATGTTGCCCTGGGTTGTGTAACTGATGGGTTTCTAGATGGGTGGTGATCTTGCTTCTTAGGACCCTTTCAAAGATTTTTATGATATGGGATGTTAGTGCTATTGGTCTGTAGTTCTTTGCTGTTGCTTTACTGCCCCCTTTGTGGAGTGGGGCTATGTCTGTTGTTTTTAGTAACTGAGGGACGACCCCCGTGTCCATGCTCCCTCTCCATAGGATGGAAAAGGCTTGTGATAGGGGCTTCTTGCAGTTCTTGATGAACACAGAGTTCCATGAGTCTGGCCCTGGGGCAGAGTGCATGGGCATGTCATTTATCGCCTGTTCGAAGTCATTTGGCGTCAGGATAACATCGGATAGGCTTGTGTTAATCAAATTTTGTGGCTCTCTCATAAAAAATTCATTTTGATCTTCGACTCTCAGTCTGGTTAGCGCTTGCTAAAAACTGAGTCATATTGGGACTTGAGTAGCTCACTCATTTCCTTGTTGTCATCTGTGTAGGACCCATCTTGTTTAAGTAGGGGCCCAATACTGGACGTTGTTCTCGATTTTGATTTGGCATAGGAGAAGAAATACTTTGGGTTTCTTTCGATTTCATTTATGGCTTTTAGTTCTTCCCGCGATTCCTGACTCCTAAAGGATCTTTTAGCTTAAGTTCGATGCTTGCTATTTCTCTGACCAGTGTCTCCCTGCGCATTTCAGATATATTGACCTCTTTTAGCCGCTCTGTTATTCTTTTCCGTCGCCTGTAAAGGGAGCGCCTGTCTCTTTCTATTTTACATCTACTCTCCTTTTTCTTAGAGGAATAAGCTTGTGCATACATCGAGTGCCACCGAGTTAATCTGTTCTAGGCATAGTTTGGGTCTGTGTTGCTTAGTATATCTTCCCAGCCCTTTATCGGTTAGGACTTTGGGTTTTCTTGGTCCCACTTTATGTTTTTGTTATTGAAGTTGAATTTGGTGGGAAAGCTCCTCGTGATAGTCTCATTTTGTCGGTCTGGGGCTCCACGCATACATGTCTGAACTCAATTATGTTGTGATTGAGTATATTGTTTTTGATATGGTGACATTTCTTATCAGATCATCATTGTTAGTGAAGATGAGGGTTTGTGTATTCTCCAGTCTAGTAGGCTCTATTATTTGCTGGTTTAAATTGAATTTTGTGCAGAGATTTAAAAAACTCGTGTGAGTGTGAGTTTTCATCAGAGCTGCCTCCTGGTGTTATTTCTGCAACAATATTATTTGCTATATTCCTCCATTTTAGGTGCTTAAGTTGAAATCCCCCAGGAGCAAGATGTTGGGTGCAGGAGCTGGAAGATTTTCCAGACAGTGGTCAATTTTTAACAGCTGTTCCTGGAATTGCGGGGATGTTGCATCGGAGGCTTGTAGACTACCACAATGATTTGTTTTGGTTCTCGACCTTTACTGTTTAAAACTTCCATACGTCATTTGAGGCATTAAGCAGTTCTGTGCAAACAAGTGACTCTGCAATGTAAAAGGCCAACCCCCCCCTTTTGCCTGTTCACTCTGTCACATCTGTATAGGTTGTAAACTGGGATCCATATTTCGTTGTCCAGTGATCCTTTTGTGGGTCTCAGTGAAAGCCGCGAACATTGCCTTTGCCTCTGCAAGCAGTCCACGGAGGGAAAGGTATTTTTGTTGTTTGTTGCTGGCTTTAGCCCCTGTATATTTGCAAAGAAAAATGTTATGGGGACTGGTGGTATTGTTGGTACTGGGGGGGGGGATTTTTTTTTCCGGCATTAGTATCTGTATCTGTTGGTTTGGAGTGGAGGCCATCGACTGTGGTTCCACTCCAGGAATGATGGATTTGGTGTACGATTTTTGCCATTTCCTGCCAGTTTTTTTTCCTTCCTGGCACTAAAAACCTCTCCCTCTTGAGTGGCTGTGGCTACCCAGGTTTTCCCCTGGCCTGGATGTTTTGTATCTTTTTTTCCCCCTTTTGATGGTATGCCCGGCAAAATTTTAAATTATAGCACAGTCTTTCCTGTACTGAAGAGGTACACATTTCAGGGTGAAAAAGCTTACAGGAAAAGGGGGTTTGCATTTTCCTGTTGTCATATGGGCATGACATTTTCTAGGGTGGTCATAGTTGCATGTCCCATCGTTTTTCCAGATTTCCCATGCCCGCAGATACCAAGTGCATAGTATGTGCACAGGCTTGGTTTCCGTTTGCCTTGGGTTTCTGTGACTGTATTCCCTGTTGTGCATGTTTCCCTGTCTTACTTCTATCCTCCCTAGCACCAACAATGGAGCTCCCACCAGTTGTTTTGGTAATTTATCCTCACTATTGCTATTGGAGTCCTCTTGTTTGCTATTTCCTGCGGTTTTTTCTAGTTTGCAATATTGGTTTTATCTTATCTTTTGACTACACTTGTTTCCCTACTATGGCTCCTGTCCTCTATGAGGTCATTTATATGTATTCCTTCATGCGTATAATTCCCGACTACCTGGACAAAATCTCCAGCTTTACCATTACTGTCTCCCAGGACAGTATCTCCAGCTTCACCATTTCTGTCTCCCAGGACAGCACCTCCAGCTTCACCATTACTGTCTCCCAGGACAGCACTATCAGCCCCACATTTACTGACTACCAGGACATCACCTCCAGCCTTACAGTTTGTGACTACATGGCCAGTATCAAGGGCAGTACCATTCAGCCCAGACTTTTTATGTTCCCATCTGTTGTAGAAAGCTTCCAGGTTTTCTATGAAAGCAGCTTTGATGTTATCCTCTTTTAATACCCTTGTGATTTTAGTCCACAGATTTTCTCATTTGGGCATACCCAAAAACACTTCTCTGTTTTAATACTGCTTGTAGCTAGTTCTGGGATATCTGCACAAGGAGCGTGACACCAATTTCCACAAAAATGACAATTTATCCATGTGGAAGCCCGTTTGTTTGACTGACCACAGACTACACACAGCTTCATAATGATTTGAATGGTTGATTTACTGCAATTCTACTAGCAACCTCTTGAATATTATATTAATAACCTTAAATGAAGCTCTAGCTATTTGTATTTCTGTTTCTAACTCTTTTTGTATATTGGACAGCTAAGATAAGATAAGATTTCGTTCGGATTTTTAACCCCGGAGGATTAGCCACCCAGGATAACCCAAGAAAGTCAGTGCGTCATCGAGGACTGTCTAACTTATTTCCATTGGGGTCCTTAATCTTGTCCCCCAGGATGCGACCCACACCAGTCGACTAACACCCAGGTACCTATTTGCTGCTAGGTGAACAGGACAACAGGTGTAAGGAAACGTGTCGAAATGTTTCCACCCGCCGGGAATCGAACCCGGGCCCTCCGTGTGTGAAGCGGGAGCTTTAGCCACCAGGCCACCGGGCCTTTCAAATGAGCTGATGTAGGTAACAGCTCTTAGCTTGCCAATAAAGTTAGGAATCCTTAACCTGTAAATAGCTGTCAATAAAGCTAGGGATCCTTAACCTTGTCAAACCCTGTGTAAAAAAAAAAAAAAAAAAAAAAAAAAAAAAAAGAGAGAGAGAGAGAGAGAGAGGGAGAGACAGAGAGACAGAGAGACAGAGAGAAAGCGTGGAAGGGAGGGGGAAATGAATGATTGTACATCGTGCCATAATATCTAAACTGAATTCCCAGACTAATACAACCAAGAAGTCTCACATAAACATTCAAAATATGTGGTGCATCCATGATAACAGTAGTGCCAAGTATAAGCTCCAAGGCTCACAACACAACCCTAATACACTCCTGGATCGCTCTTTCTTGCAGTCTACGCTGCTCTTTTGTCTCTCATTGTTGTGTGTATGTGAATGCTATGTCGTTTATGCGTCAATAATAGAGGTGGAGTGGGCTGTAACTTGCGTTCTGACAGCCTTATCATGGGTGGCGTGTATTGAAAATTTCTTGTGTGATTATCAGGCACAAGGAGAAGTCTAGAACGATGGCGTCAAGCTCGAGTTTAGCCTCGAAACTGAAGAAGAAGGCAGTGCGAGTGAAACACCAAAAAGTGAAGCTGTTCAGAGCCAATGAGCCCTTCCTCTCTGTCTTCATGTGGGGAGTAAACCACACGGTATGTTTACCACTTGATCTCTTACTACACTTGACAGTGACTTTCATTGTGAATTTGTTGATATCTAATGTCATCTCTTGCCAGCTTGTACGTCTACACTGGGCGAGAAGTGTGCGTCTTGCTGTGGTGATCATCTCAAGTTGTAGCAACTTGACCATCATCATGATTCTTAAATATTTTTTTCCCTTATATCTTGCGTTTTTGACATAGGCATATACCACAAATCATGAGGAAGACTTGCATGTCCGAGGCATTATGGTGATAACTACTGCACTATGTATCTATGTGAATTAGTGTAATTTCTTATACATTGCTTGTGTTGATATTACAATGTTTAGTAAGTGTAGCTGATATTTTTGTTCTTACCAGCCATTCTCTTGTTAATTCCTGGCCGTTATTTACTGCATAATTATGTGTGTGACAGTCATTTAGAATCAGTTGTCTGGTTCATACATAATACAGAAAATACACTTCTCGTTTGAAACTTAATAACTTTGAGTTAGGTTAGTACTTGAATGGGTGTTTACAGCTTTCATTGCTTTTCAAGACCCCCAAACAAATTGCCACATTATTTGATTTTACAGCATTCTTCTAGGATAAATCTGTTTAATTGTTATAAATGTATATCCTTAAAACCATTGTAAAAACTTTAGGTTGTAAAGACTTTCATACATTGTCCTTTGCGAGAAGTTATTTAATTTTTTGTGAACTTATGCAAAGCATTTCTACATTAAAAACTTCTTTCTTACTTTTGTGGCATCATAACATTTTTATATATCTTCACTGTTATCTAGTATCAAAAAAAATAAATAAATAAAAAAATACCTAGAAATTAGCCAACTAGTATATTACATTATGGGGAGGACCTAAAGGGCTCCAAATGGAAATGAACTATAATGCTTTCATGACTTTTTTGAGTTATCCTGGGTTAAAAATTATCTTGGGTAAAGTACCTATTCCACAAGATATTGATGTTGTTTGTGTGGGCCTTGGTAAGTCTTTTCAGTGTTTTGGTTCTAAACAAGGAGTGGAAAGCAATATCAAGGAGTGCAACCCTTTAGTTGAATATTTACCTTGCATTGCTTACTTGCTCAATTTTGTTGATCACACAGCAATAGGTGTTTGTATTGAGGCTGCCTCATTGTTGGAAATTGTTCAAAAAGGTGTATTCATTCTCCCTACAGATGATGTCTCCTGACAACTTGAAGTTGCATTCTGAAAGTGAAAAAAAAGTGATTCTAGGCCAAGGAGGCATGATGCAGGGAATGCACTCCCATTGAATTATGATGGGATAATTGACACACTGAACATTTTACAAGATTTCCATCAGAATAGTGATACTCAAGAAGTAGCTATAAAAGTTTCTGCTAGTTTGTGTTAACTTCAGTCATTCTTCCTTTTTGTATTCTGGACTGTTTTGGAATTCCTACACAAAGTTAATTTATTCTTCAAACTGAGGTATTTATACTAAATAAAGTAATAGAGCATATGAAGTCCTTACCAGAATTTCTTTTGGGTTGTTTACAGTGGATCAGTCACTGTGAGGAACAGGCTGAGTAGATGAAATTAAAAATCCAAAATGAATCAGAAAATCTGAAAATGAGTTGAACTATTGAGCTGAATGGAAATGACAAGTGACTTACATAAGATAAGATAAACATTGTGTTCGATTTTTAACCCGGAGGGTTAAACATCCAGAATAATCCAATAAAGCCAGTGTGTTATCGGGGACTGCCTGTCTTATTTTCATTAGATACTTTCAATCTCGTCTTCCAGGATGTAACCCACAAGTCAGCTAACACCCAGGTATCTGTTTACTGCTAGGTGAACAGAGACACCAGGTGTAAGGAAATATGCCAAATGTTTCCACCTGTGCTGGGGATCGAACCACAGACACTCAGTATGTGAGCTGAATGCGCTGTCAACTGAGCCACAGGTGCTTATAAAAAACAAACTGATGAAAAATATGTGTTTAAGGATACATTCTTCACTAAAGAGAAAGTTATTATTGTTTTATTTGTTTACCTATTTTCAGTGTCTGTGCACTAACTATTGCAGTTTGTAATACGTAAAACTTTTAAGACTGATCCATGCTTTTGCCTGGTACTTCTTGGGCAATGCTATTTCACTTATGCAGTAAAAATATTATGCCAGGTTTGAGAGCACAGATAAGGGTGTATACTTAGCATCAAAAATTAGAATTTTGTCTGTGATTTAATTTTGACTATAATTTTTTTGTTTCTTTCAGAGCAGTGAGCTGAGTCATATTAATGTACCAGTGATGTTAATGCCTGATGACTTCAAAGCTCACTCCAAAGTCCGTGTGGACAACCACCTCTTTAACAAGTAAGTTGCTCACATTCAATAATCATGACTGATTTCTGCTGTAACTTACTGCTAAGCTCTACAGTAAGATATTACAAGGACCCCAGTAGAAATAAGTCACTTTGACTTTTTTGAGGGTTATCCTAGGTAATTTACACATATGTATTTATGTATACCTGTGCCTAAATAAACTTACTATATGCAGTTTATGTAGGATGGTAGGTAATTTTATTAGTTTAAGTGTGAGAGTATGTATTGCATTTAATGCTTCTTGGACTTGTACAATATATCACTTGTGACTTATACTGTTCGTTGCTCATAATTTACAGTAGTGCCTTGACTTACAAATATCTTTCCTGTGAACATTAAGCTATAGTTACAAACATTTAGTTTGTTTTTTAAATGTATTCATATTTTGTGTATGTTCATTTTAGGCATATGTGGAAGGCTCACAAGTATTTGGTAGAGATTAAGTAACTATGCATATAATTACTTTTTTCTCAAAACTAAACTGTGAATATAATTTTTGATCTGCTATTTATTCACCAAATGCATTGATGTTTTGTGAATGTTCATTTTATGCATGTAAGGAGGGCTCATATTTGTTTGGTAGAGATTGGTAAAAACTTTCCATTTAATTGCTAAGCTTTTATGACTGAATTATTATTTAATTTTTTCACTGTATGCATTGATATTAGGTGTATGGTCATGTGTATATGAACTCACATTTGTTTGGTAGAGATTGGTTAACGATCTCTTGAGTAGTGACTGGCAGGAGTGTATTTCATGTGCCTCTTCCTTCCTCAACAATCTCGTATGTGGAATTCTATCAGAGGCCTTACCATGATCTAACACCTCAAATACTTTAGTGAAAAAAGCTAGTAAATTTGTGAGGCAGGAATGCCAGCTGTTGATATGTGAAAGCTTAACTTGAAACACAACCCTTTCTCACATACTGAAGCCCAAGAGCCACAACTTCCTCATACAATATGCCCAGGCACCTAGTACTCCTACCATGTTACTGAGAAAGTGGAGTGCATATGTAATGAATGTTGTTTCAGATTCAGTGAGATTGAGGGAAAGGGAGAGAGAGGGACAAAGCTCTACTGCTGCCATTGCCTACACTTTTCTCACTTCATTTCTCCTTTGCCACTTGCTCAGCCACGACGGTAAGGGGGTGGTAGGCATGTGTAAAGTGTTGTGTCGGATGCAATGGGAGGGACAGTGGGAATGAATAGGAGAATGGGAAGAAATTTGAGAGGTTAGGAAATGGGAGAGGGAAAAGAAATGAAGAATGGGTAGAAGTGGATGAAAAGGGAAGAGAAAGATGCTCATTTAAGTGTTGTACATATTTTCATATTATTTTATAATATGATATGAATCTCCTGGAACCTACGTGTCTCATAAACCCAAGTTCCAAACACTCACATTACCCACTGTACGTGCACTTGCTAATTATATTAATTAATCTTATGAGTATTGCATTTAATGAATTTTTAAATACGGTAGACTGTTGGTTAACACGTGATCTGCTAATACTTTTTTTGCATTAATGTACGTGGTTGCAAAATTGCTGCTGGTGAAGATGCCTCATCAATCAATTTATGTGGCAGAGTACATGTAGGGGAAAAATGTGGCATGCACTGGGTTCTTTGCCCTCCATCTCACAGTAAGCCTACATGCTAATCCATTGTCTTATGGGAGAGGTTTACATAATGTGCACATCCTCCCTTGCCTCAGTGCTCCATTCGTACATGTCTTTTTACCATACTCGGCCTGTGTTAGTGAATCAAATTTTTATCTTTTCATCATTTTTTCTCATTTCCGGATAGTAAACATGGCATCCAAAAGGAATGTGAGTGACCCTGGAAGTATAAATAAGAAGCATAATTATGCATGAAAGTCTTGATGTTATAAAGAAAATTGAGATCCTAGATAATAAGGCACCTTATCCTGCTAGCAGAGAAGTAGATTTGGGATCATTGGCTGAAAGGTCATAAGGAGGAATGAGAAATTTAATGCTGGAGAAATATCTAGAAGCATTTAGAAAAGCATAAGAGAAGACCAGAATGCACGTATTACGAATGACCAATACAATGTCTGCATCATCCATTGTAATACTTATAACTGTCTCATGAAATTTAATGAGGCTAAATTTGTATACCTTGAGTATACCTTGTCATCAGGAAAGAAGAATCAACCAGACAACAATGCCTGGAAAGTGCTTTTATTACAACCATTAACATTGTTGTCCAGAACACTAGCATCTTTATTATTTTGGAAGTCTAAGCCAAGTTAATTCTTCACCACCAAGACACCATGATCACCTAGAAGTTGAAGTTTTGGAACACTGCAGTGGGCCTACTGACCTATGACAGCCTGGTCCCTCCAACTCCTGAACTCATGGCTTTACTGGTTTTACCTCTTTGCATGTCATCTTTACCACTACATAAACTTCACCTGTGGTTATCTCTGTAGGACCGAATAGCCGTTCATGGCAAAATGTTTCCTTGCCGAAATATCACAGTGTTGTGCATGTGTCTTATTTCACATTTGTCAATATTTCATACCAAATCTTACCTATTGATCTATTTCTCTCTCCCATTAACTCCTGTCCCCTCTCCCATTCCCTGCTTTCCTCCAGTTCTTTCGATTTCTCTCAACTGAGGGTGGTTCCCAGCTGAGAGAAATAGTAATTTCTTTTCTAGGGAATTACTTATCAGAGACAGTTATAGATGTGATTTGTAGTGTAGTAACAGCTGCTAATGAGGTGATGATACTGGAAAAATCAAAGAGGCAGTGAGAAAAACACTGATTGGTTTGTGAATAATATCTGCTTGTCTGGATCCCTCAAAAGTATTTCAATACTTGCTGTTGTTGTCGACTTGGGCTTATTCTGTTGCTAACTCCTTAATTTATCACCATTAGAGTCTTCCTTCCCTCCAATATTTCCTTTCAGTAGTGTAGAATAGAAGAGAGACAGGGATGTCTGTCCACTAATCTATGATATAGTTAAGAATTAGTCAATTTGAAGGCCAAATTCACTGTCAAAAACATGTTAGAAAGTTTGTACATATACTGTCCACATTTGGATGGTTGAAGTTTTGTGTTATAGTTGTAGACATACATATATGTTCTGTAGTGTCATAAAAATTTTCAGATTTGCATTTTCTGGCTCATTTGGACTTAATATTGTAACTACTCTACAATTGAATTACTGTTTTTATATTTCCATATGTAGCCTCATGAATTTTTTTTAAATTACAGAGAGAACCTGCCTTCACACTTTAAAGTCAAAGAATACTGTCCCATTGTCTTCAGAAATTTAAGAGAGAGATTTGGTATTGATGATGTTGATTTTCGGGAGTCATTAACAAGGTAGGATATTGTGTGTGTATTACGTATTTCTATACCTGCTTTGGAGTCATGTTACTGTATACAGTGATATCTGAGAAATGAAGTTAATGTGAGTTTTGATAGATATATTTTTATATCTGTTGCTTTATTTGCCTACATTTTGAATGATTGCATTTGTCTATTACATAGTAGTCTTCAGCAGAGCAGTTAAAACTTTTTTCTTGAGTTTGCTTTTTCTTCTATGTTTTGCTTTTGAGCAATACACTGTTTTTTCATTATTTTTTCCAGAAATCTCTTTGTATGAGACTTTATTTTTGTTATGCATCTGTAGATGTAGAACACTTTTCTCACATTCTTTTTTTTTTACCTTTTCTTCATGGTAGATTTTTTAATAGATTTAGCATAACAGTTTTTTTTATAGTGATAAATATATAGTGGCTGTTCAGTATTGTAAGAGAAACAAATATCACCTTTAACTTCGGTTAAGGTTAATAATTATCCATGTTTGGTTTTTCTCCAGAATGTCATTATAATAAGAACATTAAGAGTTAATAATTTTACTTAGTGCCTAAAGTTATAGCCTAACACACAGGCCTCTCTTAGGTCGAGACTAATTGAAGTCCAGCGTTATGGGGGCATGAAAATGGACAGGTAATGGTGGTGTATTTTTATTTATTTTACAGTGATTATTTGCTATTTGAATTGTATTATGCATACTGAAGGATTTGAGCTGCTTAATGACCTTCAATAGAGCTCATCTTGCCTGCTGTAAAGAGGTTAGTGAGCCTTAATGAAGTTTGCACTCTTGTGTATTTCCTGACGAATAAGATGGATTGGTTTTGAATGCAGTGTAGTTTTGAGATTCATCAATGTGTTTTTCTGATTCTGTTTAAAGTGTCTGTAATATTTTGAGGATGAGTTTCAAGAAGATAAAAAATATTTCTAAGTAGCATAGCAGAGAGCAAAGATGAATTCTGCTAAAATTGTGGGACATGAACTAAGTTAAGCTCAAATTCATTGTTTTTTTCTTGGCAGTACTAACGTTGTTTACCTCACACTTGTTTAAGTTGACAATAATGTAACTGTAACAATGCATCATTAAAAACTCGTTCTTCCACTGTGCAGAGGAAAATTAATAGACTGTAGTACATAGGATCGTAGTATGAACAGTCTTGAGGAAACTAGGTGTTAGTGATGAGAACAGTGCTATTTAAAGAAAGGTGGTCAGATAGAAGAAGACTTCCCTTGAATTATTAGTGAAGGATGATTAAAAACCCAATATAACCAACCCTTTGGTTGTGGATTATTTCCATTGGGTCAGTTAGGTCCTCTTCCCTAGGATGTGACACACAATAGCTGACTAAGACACTATTGCTAGGTGAATGGGGGCACCAGGTGTAAGGAGACTTGCCTATACATTTTATATGACCTGGGGATTAAATTTGGGTCCTTTCAGCATAGTTTAGGAATGGTTGGTGCATGGTCAGACTGCAACCATCCACACTCCAGAAATGTTGGAAATTACAAGTTTATGAAATTGGTTAAAAATTTCCTTATTTAGTGTATCCAAATACTATATCAGGTAAAGTTTATGGCAGAATTTTGGCAGTAGTGATGAGATATAATTGTTGTTAATAGTGAGGGGATAATTGTAATTGGTGATAGTACAGTGGACCCCCGCTTAACGAACTTTTTTCATTCCAGTAGTATGTTCAGGTGCCAGTACTGACCGAATTTTTCCCCATAAGGAATATTGTGAAGTAGATTAGTCCATTTCAGACCCCCAAACATACACGTACAAACGCACTTACATAAATACACTTACATAATTGGTCGCATTTGGAGGTGATCGTTAAGCGGGGGTCCACTGTAATGGAAAATGTGTAACATGCACAAAGTACAGTGGACCCCCGGTTAACGATATTTTTTCACTCCAGAAGTATGTTCAGGTGCCAGTACTGACTGAATTTATTCCCATAAGGAATATTGTGAAGTAGATTAGTCCATTTCAGACCCCCAAACATACACGTACAAATGCACTTACATAAATACACTTACATAATTGGTCGCATTCGGAGGTGATCGTTATGCGGGGGTCCACTGTATTCAGAAAATGTTTACTACATGCATAGAGCCATTTAAGCATTTCTACTTCTGGGAGTGCCTTAGAGTACTTGGAATGGATCCTCTTTAAGAGATATATATATTGAAAGAGATATACAGTGGTATCCCGAGTTTTGTACAGCTCCCAACTTGAACTTATAGGTTAAATAATGTAGAACTTAGCCATACAGATTGTGAAAAGGACTTGGGGGTTATGATGAGCAGCAACCTTAAACCAAGACAGCAATGCCTAAGTGTACGTAGTAAGGCAAACAGATTACTGGGATTTATATCAAGAAGTGTAAGCAACAGAAGTTCAGCGGTTATATTACAGCTTTATACATCATTAGTAAGGCCTCACCTAGATTATGCAGCTCAATTCTGGTCTCCATATTACAGAATGGACATAAATTTGTTAGAAAACATTCAGCATAGAATGACTAAATTAATACATAGCATTAGAAATCTTCCTTATGAAGAAAGATTGAAGACCCTTAACCCTTTCAGGGTTCAAGGCCAAAATTGGAAGGGGTGCCCCAGTGTCCAAGAAATTTTGAAAAAAAAAAAAAAAAAAAATTTCTTACAGAATTAAAGAGTATATTTTTGTGAAGGTAATAAAACAAAAAAAAAATTTCTGATCAGTACTTACCGAGATACAGTGGCGAGAAGTTGATCCAAAATAACCGGGTGGCGGCAACATCGACGATTTCCACAAACGCGCATTTATTTTACGTTTTTTATAGTTTTTTCTTTTCTTTTCTAATTTTTTCTTTTCCTACTAGCATTCGGGGCCTGAGAGACCAATACTGTATATAATGTATATATATAAACTCACTGTATTGAACACAATAACCACACTAAAGTTATCATAATATTGTTTACGACTTTTGTTTATTACAATAAACATGCACAAATCTTGTATAATACTAATGTTCTATGATATATTTACATATGTACAATCACTGGACATGTTTTTAGAACTGCTGCAGCTTGTGGAACTCCTTGAAACAAGGCACCATGCACAGAGGTACCTTACATTCCTCGCACATAAACCGAGTGTCTTTGCGTCTTTGTTGCCGTCGTTTTGTTTGTGCACAGACAACACATCTCTTCGGGAGCAAATTTTTCTTAGTTGCAGGAACTGTATCATGAAGTGATCACCTTCCCTCCTCAAACGCTTGGTATATCCTGGGGAGTTCGTGGCGGTTTTGTATAGCAGGTGTTGTTACCTGGTATTTCATTATGAGTTGTCTGACAACAGACAAACAAAATTCACCATACGGTGGTCTGTTGCCAGTCTTCACTTGGTACATATTTTTTGCTTGAGCATTGAAATGTCCATGAGATGGAAGAAAAGTTTCATATACCACTTGTACCTTTTAAACGAACACAGCCCAACAAAGCCAATCTGCATATCACATTTGTCAACCAAGCGGATGTTTTGTGTATAATCGTCACTGTCACGGGTTTTAAAATATGTTCATTAGTCATTCATCAACTTTGCCACTGTCTTGCATTTTGTTACGGTGAATGGTTGTCAACAATGTGACATCTCGTTTGTCATGCCACTGTAATGCCATGATGTCATTGGCAGTAAACACGTGCACCTCATCACCACGAGTGCTTACGTTGAACCTGGGCATATGTTTATGATTAGAACGCACTGTGCCACACACATCTGTCTTGTTCACTCGCAAGAAATCACTGAGTAAAGGGCTTGTGTACCAGTTATTGGTATATAATGTATGCCCCTTACCAAGATAAGGTGCCTTCATGCTTCTCACTATGTCACCTGTGATATCCAATAACATCCTGGTATCTTTCAATGTTTTACTTCCCATGTATACAACATTATCCAGTACCAAGCCACTGTCACAGTCACAGAGTACAAACAGTTTTATACCAAAGTGTTTCCTCTTGCTTGAATGACAGTCTACCTTTGAACAAAATCAAAGATTTGTCAAATGCAAGATTCTTGAATGGATAAAAGTACATGTTGAACTTTTGTTTGAGATACATAAAAACATTTCTAATCTTGTATAACCTGTCAATTCTGTCAGGCCTGGCTTTGTCAGAGAAGTGCAACATACAAAACAGTATGATAAACCTGTTCACTGGGATGATTTCACTGAAGACCGGGGTAGAAATTAGCCGATCTGTGGACCAGTATGATTTTATATTATGCTTATAGACATGAGGCAAAAAGCAAATACATTTCTGCAACAGTTGTCTCTTTCCACCGGTGTAGTCTTGACTGTGGTGATACCGTATTTGCCATGGTGTACTCAAAATACTTGTTAATTTCCCTGACAATAGTTTCCATCAAGGGCTGATCAAAGAATTGTTCAAAGAATTCCAGTTCATTGGCAGTGGTTCCAAGGGGACAAATAGGTAGAATTCCACTTTGAGAGTCATCAAACTGGTGGGGCTTGGGAACAAAATTGGGGTTTTGCTGCCAATCCCAGATACGGTTTGCTGGTAGATACTGGACATCATAGGCTGGTTGTGCTGGTAGTTGTGGTTATGGTGGGCTGGTGGCTGATGCTCTGCTTTGTCCTTGAACTGAGGAGTCAGCAGCGTGGGTCCCAGCCTGGGCTGGTGAGTCATGCATGGCCGTGGCACTACCATCACCACTACCACCACCTACTGATGCCTGTGGTCTATCCATACCAAGTGTAGCCACATCATCCTCACTTTCACTGTCTATTCCTGGTGTAGGGCCACGGGATGTACTCTGGGATGTACTCCGTCCCCTGGGCACTGCATAGGGAACACTACCCGAGTGCATGTGGCGGCGTATATACCGACGCTTCACTGTTGAATATGCTTCCTCACTATCACTACTCGAATGATCGTCAAGAGCAATAAAATCACAATCCACATCCTATCATCATCATTACTGAAGTCAAGGAGGCCCGGCCACGGCGAAAAAATAGTTTTCTCTTGTGATGAGGTACAACTGACCGTGACTGAGGGAGTGCCCAACCAGAGGTTGAAGGTTGAGGATCGTCAGGGGTTTTCCTGCACTATTAAACGATATCCTGGTCATTCCTTTCGGTCACTAAAATGATCAAAGCCAAAGAATTTGTCTTCATTTCCGCTTCCATCAGAGTCAGAACTATCAGATAGGAAGAGGAGAGTCCCAGTTTTCCTTGGAGTGAGAGCTGCCTTGCGACGAGGCATGGTGAACAAAGGTAACTGAGCCGGCGTTCCCACAATGCAGGTCTTGAGGATATCTCTCCAAGAGAGAACCCGCAGTAATGGATTCAAATTAGACAAGTTTAGATTTAGAAAGGATATAGGAAAGTATTGGTTTGGAAATAGGGTAGTTGATGAGTGGAACAGTCTACCTAGTTGGGTTATTGAGGCTAAAACCTTGGGTAGTTTCAAATTTTCGTTGAATAAATACATGAGTGAGAGGGGTTGGATTTGAGTGGGACTTGCATGTGAGAGTGGATAGAGTTATCAGAGCTTACTTCTTGGGTGGTATTGAAAATTGGGTTGGGCAGATGTTTTGTTAATGGGATGGATTGTAAAGGACCTGCCTAGTATGGGCCAACAGGCCTGCTGCAGTGTTCCTCATTTCTTATGTTCTTATGTCCTTATGTAAAGTGTATTATTGTAAGTGCTTT